CGGCACGGAATTAAACGCCTGTACCAATTGTGACTGTAAAATGTGTGAGTCATAAAACAATGCACTCGCTTCATGTTCAATTTTATGCAAACATTAATGTCTTGTTATGCTACTGTTACAAATTACACTGTACCACCAATACCTTATGTAAAAAGCCCCAAAAAAGAATTTTAAAAAATATATATATTTATAATTTTGGATTATATTATTATAATTTATGTTAATGTTTGCAAATTAAATTTGAAATACATATTTTTAGATTGATGAGTGCCATTTAAACTTTGTAACTCACTTTGCATTGCACAAAGCATAGCCATGCAGAAAAGATTTAAATGACAAAATGTTATCTTCAAACTCTAAATCAGTGGATCCCAAACATGTCCTTGTGAGTCTTAAAAAGGACACAATTTATGTATTTCAATATTCAATCTACAGAACAGCCAGTAGAGGAGCTTATGAGATTTACATGGAGTAAATAGCACTTATCGGACGCTGGACGTCCTCACGGATTCCAAAGTCAGATAAGTTCCCCATAGGAATGCATTGAGCAATGCTTTACTATGGGAGAGGTTTAATCAGTGAGCGGCACAGGACATGCAGGCACATTTGGCACACCCTGCAGGATGACATTGCGGTAGGCATGGAGCAGACCAGCGTTGAGGTAGCCCTACGCTTAAAAAAGGTTATGCTAAAAAGGTTTATATAAAACTTTTTGTGACCGCGTGAGAGGGGTCCGTAGTCACCTAAATGTAGATTAGGGCACTGTATCGTTTAAATTTGTATGCATAACACTATAGTGTTATGTTAAATAATACTGATTAGGGATCGACCGATATAGATTTATTTTTTTACCGATAATTTGTGAACTTTCAGGCTGATAGCCAATAACTTATGTACATTTACCATTTAAAAAAAAAAAAAAAACTATTTCTAAAGGTAAATTCACAAAATATACATGCCACATGTAGTGGATGCAGTGTGTTTAGACAGGGGAGCTGTGTGTGTTTATGTAGTGGATGCAGTGTGTATTTGTGTAGTGTGTATATAATGAATGCAGAGTGTGTTTGTGTAGTGTGTATAGTGAATGCAGTGAGTCTTTGTGTAGTGTATATATAGTGAATGCAGAGTGTGTGTGTGTAATGTGTATAGTGAATTTAGTGTATGTATATAGTGAATGCAGTGAGTGTTTGTGTAGTGTGTATAAATAGTGAATGCAGAGTGTGTGTGTAGTGTGTGTGTTTCTGTAGGTATGTAATTTGGGGGGCATTTTTTATTTTAGATTATTTTAAAAAAAAATGTTAGTGCCCTCTACCTGCTTCTTACTTGGCCTGGGAGGGGGGATATAGCATTCCTTGGTGGTCGGGTGGCATGGACTGTGCAGTGAGGGCCCGCAGCAAGCTCTTACTTACCTTCCCATCAGCTCCACTGTCTAAATCTCGCCTGCGTGCCGGGCGGAGAGATGCCATGGTAACACGTGTCAACACTCTGACGGCCGTGGGACACGCAGGATTTACACAGGGGAGCTGAAGGGAGCTGCTGGGAAGGTGAGTAAGAGCTTGCTGGGCCCTCCAGGGCCACCGGGATTATCATGTGCCCGGCGGTCCAGGTATGTATTAACGGCAATATCGGTATCTCTATATGCCGATATTGCTGAAAATACCTAATATCGGCAAGACCGATAATCGGTCGATCCTTAATATTGATTACATTTAAATAAATGTTAACTATCAAAATCATTGCCTACCTTGATGCAAGTCATACACGATGCTGATTCTGATGAAGGAAACCAATTCTCTGAAAATATAAACAAAACAATAATTAATATTATATTAAAAAGAAATTAAAATTCAATTTTAAGATTAGTTATATACATAAACAGGAGTTTGACTGTGAATCTGCAAGTGAAATATTCAGCCCCAAAAAAGGAAAAGCTAAAATTCAGGGCAGCACTTTTCTTGTGCTGAGCAACAGTGAATCTGTGGAAATATACATAAATGGAGTTAAGCGACACAGCCATTTTATGTGTGCCTGCAAGGAAAGCACAATAGAAGAGCCTGCCTTGTGTGTGAGTGTGTAGATAGCTCCATATTATTCAGCATAATACTACATGGACTATTGAATTTAATATGTTTTTCTTTCTGACACTCCAGTTTAACCCCTTAAGACCGGAGGGCGTACTATTACGCCCTACTTTAGGCGGCTCTAAACGCTGCCTGGCGTAATAGTACGCCCTCCGGTCTTTCTTTACTTATCCGGTCGCCGGCGGTCCCACGCCGGCGATCGCGGTTGGGGGGATTCCCAGGGAGCCCCCCGCGGCACGTCCAACCCCCTGACAGCCCCCCCGGCCATGAGAGAGTGAGGTCCTTGCGAGGACCTCACAGTCACATGGCCGGGATAGCTGCCTCCTGCATTGCCAGCAGGGGGGCTGCCTGTAAGTACAGGTGGTCCCCTTGCTGGCTGGAAATAAAATAAATGAAATTTAAAAAAGTTAAAAAGTGTAAAAAAAATATATATATATACTTAGATCATATATATAGATTATATACATATGATCTAAGTATATATATATATACACATATACATACAAACACATACACTATCTAGGTGTATTTTACTATTAATATATATATAATTATATATATATATATATATTAATATCAAATTACACGTAGACTGATATTGATTAAATATATATATAATTATTGTTAGATATATTTATATATAATATTAAAAAATTAAATATGTAAATACGTTAAAAAATAAAATGTAAAAAATAATTTTAAAAAAATAATTAAAAAATATATAGATGCCTGTTATTTCGTTCTAACTGTATTGTGATATTAATATATATATATTTATATCAAAATACATGTAGAACGAAATAATATATATATATATCTATATACATAAATATATACGTATATATCACTATATATATACCTATATATAAATAAAAACATTTTTTAAAAATTATATATATATATATATATATATATACATATATATTCACATACATATATATATATATATATATATATATATATATACATATATTAATTCTACATATATATTTATGTAATATTTTTACATAATCAGGTATCTTAATTAATTACAATTAGCGGGACCTGCCTGACAACCCATGCCGAAAGTAAAGGGAATTTAATTTGCTAGCACTATATTTAACCCTATAACTTTCCAAGACACCATAAAACCTGTACATGGGGGGTACTGTTCTACTCGGGAGACTTGCTGAACACAAATATTAGTGTTTCAAAACAGTAAAATGTATTACAACGATGATATCGCCAGTAAAAGTGCAGTTTTTTGCATTTTTCATGCACAAACAGCACTTACACGGACGATATTATTGCTGCGATACTTTTTGCTGTTTTGAAACACAAATATTTGTGTTCAGCGAAGTCTCCCGAGTACAACAGTACCCCTCATGTACAGGTTTTATGGTGTTTTCAAAAGTTACAGCTTCAAATATAAGGCTTGCGTTTAATTATTTTCACATTAAAATTCGCCAGATTGGTTAAGTTGCCTTTGAGACCCTATGGTAGCCCAAGAATGAAAATTACCCCTATGATGGCATACCATTTGCAATAGTAGACAACCCAAGGTATTGCAAACAGGGTATGTCCAGTCTTTTTTAGTAGCCACTTAGTCACAAACACTGGCCAAAATTGGCGTTTTTTGCATTTTTCACACACAAATACTAACACTAAATTTGGCCAGTGTTTGTGACCAAATGGCTATTAAAAAAGACTGGACATACCCCATTTGCAATACCTTGGGTTGTCTACTATTGCAAATGATATGGCATTATGGGTGTAAATTTCTTTCCTGGGATACTATACAGTCTCAAAGGCAACGTAACCTATCTGGCGAATTTCAATTTCAAATGTAACGTGCTATATTTGACCCTGTAACTTCCCAAAACGTCATAAAACCTGTACATAAGGGGTACTGTCTTACATGTGAGACTTTGCTGAATACAAATATGTGTATTTTATTGCAGTAAAAGCAAACAGTATTATGACATTGACCATTAAAATGTCATGTAGAACTAAAAAAATCAAAAAAAAATCTTATTTTCTCCCATTTTTTTCATATTAAATTATGTTTCATAGCTAAATATTTGATATTAAATGAAAGCCCTGTTTCCCCTGAATAAAATGATATATAATAAGGGTGGGTGCATTTAGTATGAAAGAGGTGAATTATGGTTGGACAGACATGGAGCGCAAATGCCAGGTTTTGTTTACATTTTGTTTCGTTCACAACGTGTACATTTGGCTCCGTCCTTAAGGGGTTAACCCCATTAAGGACCAAACTTCTGGAATAAAAGGGAATCATGACATGTCACACATGTCATGTGTCCTTAAGGGGTTAACTAGCTACCTCTGTTACTATCCTTGATTGAATAACTACACTTTGTTATTCTCTATGAGTAGCAACCAAGAGATATATTTGTTGCCAATTTCTCCAAGAGACTAGCTAATTGACAAGACAAGGGAGTTGAAGCTATACAAAATATAGTTTAAACACCTTTCTTTTTTCTTTTCTATTTTTATAGGGTCTAATTCATTTTCACGGTAGTACCCTTTCTCTTACTGTGTGATATTTACAGATGTGTCCCCCCCCCCATTTAAAAAAAAAAAAAAAAGTTTATTTTAAAATATACTAATAAATGATAAGTTTCAATTACATATACCTGCGGGCAATTTCCAAATTGAGTAACTCTAGTTTTTATAAATAAATATGCTATCTAGATAATTTTTGGTTAGCTTTTTTGATGAGACAAAAAATCTCCCAAGTGACAGCTCTGCTGTAAGATCCATATTTATCACTAAATACTAAAATATGATTTGTAAAGTCAACAGATCAGGGTATTAGAAGCTCAATACACTTTGTTCGCTCACACACCCTTTTGCCTAGCTCCCAGGATGGAATGAGACCTCTTAGTGAGAGTAGGGAAATTTGATAGAACAGGCAAAATGGCATTCACATTCTACGCACGAGAGCACCAAGATGGCCGGTGACGGGTAGGGAGTTTTGATAGAACGCCGGCTTTTCCGACAGAAGGAGATGGTGCAAGATGGCGTCACTCCGTCCATGAGAGCAGCACAGATGTCAGCATGCGGCTTCCTGTTCCGGAGAAGGGTGAAGGTCGCGAAGCCGGTGTGTGCTTCACATCATGGAGGCTGCGGGAGACCCCGAGCTGCAGAGGTTCATTGAAGCGGAGACTCAGAAACAGCGATTCCAGGGTCTGGTTCATCAGCTCACCGACCTCTGCTGGGTATAAACCGATACAAACCGAGCAGCTTACACTTCACCCATAGAGAGTGTCTGTATAGAGGGGAACACTACAACGAGGGGGCAATGCTAATGGATTAACTCATTCAGGATTGACGTTCAGACAATCATATGGATTAAAAAAAATAAAAAAAAAGTTTTGCCTTAAAGAGATTAAAAAAACAAACAAAAAAAAAACAGAACCACTACAACGCCCTGTAGTTGTTATGGTACTTAGATTGCCCCTTTAAGAAGTATTAAGGTGTGACTGTTATGTCTACCATATGCCACCTCTTGACAAATATTCCTAGAGTTTAGGAGCCAGTGCCAAAGCTCATTATAGAGACCTTCTTTCTGACTAATCTGACACAGTGGCAAATGGGCAGGTGGAGTGCTGGAGACCTACCTTAGACTAAACTGGAAATTGTGTAGAATCAACCTTTTGTCTAAAGTAGAAGTACCAGGGAATTTTCTAAGGGAATTTTTTCACGTAAACATTTTATTACTAAGATTCTGGTTATATGTAAACTTTGTGCATTTATACATACAAAACATTGCATTTTCCCTGTTTATGTTCACTTTGGGTACCATAACCACTTCAACTGGTTGACACTTTTGTCAATTAGTGATAACATAAGTGGTCATATTTTTTTTCAATATAAGTGCTTTAGTGTTTGTATAGATTTGTCCAAATATATCATTACACTTGCATGTTTGAATATTTTAAGCATGCAATTGTGAGGTAAAGGTACTTTTTGGTAAAATTCTGGAAAATAAAAAAACATGCCAAACTAAAACTGTTCCAAGTATGGCTGAAACTGAAACTTTTTTTTTTCTGAGGTTGCCCTTGTCAAAATTTTTTTTACAGAAACTTCAATGTTTACATTACAATAACTAAGACAGCCTCTAGTGGCTGTCTACCAGACTGACACCAGAGGAGCTTTTGGAATATTACTGGACTTTTGGTCCGCTAACTGAACCTAGACGTCCTCACGCTCTGCATGAGGACATACAGCGTCTGCTATTAACCCATATGAAAGAATTGATTTAATGCTTTCCTACGGGGAAGCATAATGCACGCGGCACTCAAGCATTTGTATTAGCACCCCCTCGTCTAGTGACATTGGAGTATGTGGAGCTGCGACCCAGCGCCGAGGGACATGACTGCTAGGATCAGATAAGTAAATAAAGGGTTTTTAACCCTTTATTCATTGCGGCGAGGGAGGGGGAAGGCAGAGGGAGCTATAGTGCCAGAAATACAGCTGTGTATTGTATTAACATTTTTTTAATAAGCTTTGCAAATTTATTTAATTTGGATAACCACCAAATGCTTTAATATTTCTAAAAATATTTTAACTTTTGTAATATTTGCATGTTAATATTGTTTTTACAGATGATATATTTTTTATTTTATCTCCTTAAAGGAACACTATAGTCGCCAGAACAACTACAGCTTATTGTATATGTTCTGGTGAGTATAATCAGTTCCTTCAGGCTTTTTGCAGTAAACAGTCTTTTGAGAGAAAATGCAGTGTTTATATTACAGCCTAGAGATAACTCCACTGGCCACTCCTCAGATGGCTACTAGAAATGCTTCCTGGAGCAGTGCTGTACCATGTGCAGCACTGCCATTCAGTGTCTCCCACCTTTGCATGGAGACACTGAACTTCCCTCATAGATACATTGATTGAATGCATCTCTTTGAGGAGATGCTACTCTGCCCCTGATCTGTCTTCTTGACAGTCTTAGCCAATCCAACACTTATGATGATGTCAGCCAAGCAGGCAGATCAGGGGTAAAGCCAGCAGCAGCAGATTGGAATAAAAGTAAGATTTATTAAGGGGGGGCAAGGTGATTTATTTTTATTTTATTTAATTATTTTTTTACACAATAGGGTCAGGAATACATGTTTGTGTTTCTTACCCTATAGTGTTTCTTTTAGGATGGTGGCAATTGCCCAAGTACTGAACCAAAACAAAACCTAGAATTTGAGCAATATGTAGGTTTAACAGCAAAGATCGCACCAAGGCCAGGGGTGAAGTCAGCAGCTACAGCTACCCTCCAGCTGGGCAGGCCTCCGAAAGGGCTTGTTCTTTCAGTCAGATTCCGATCCCTCTGCCCGCGCTCCCGTCTCCCAGGAAAGTATTACCCTTTCTACCTGTCTGGCTTCACCCAGGAAGGTATTGAACCTTCTGCCGGCCCTGCTTCTAGATACTTGTGGGTCTCAGGCTTAGCTGTTTCTTGATACGTCCCCAGGGCTAGTGAAAAGTGCAGGCTTGTTATTCATGTAGAAATATTTCCCCTGCCTCTATAAACCATAATATGCAGATCTACCTGATTATGCAAGTTAACTAGGTGGCACTGCACCTAACTGTTCCAGACTCATCTACAATCAAAGTAATGCTGCACAAGCCTCAGAGCCAGACTGATACCAGAAGACATTCCCCAAATAACATTAAGATACTCACCCTGCACCCTTGATCATGGGCACAACATGCCTTAAACAAAAGATTCACCAAGGGACCTACATGAAGTATCAGACACGTGACATACTCCCAGTGATGGTGACTACAGTCACAACTAATAATTGACCTTTTTCATATTCACTGGTCCCACACTTATTATATATCGTTTTGTTCAGGAGAAATAGGGCTTTAACTAATATGAATAAAATTTAAAGAAGTGTGAAAAATTTAAGAAATTTTGTTTTCTAAATTCTGCATGGAGTTTTGACTGTAAATGTCATGTGTTTTATTGCCGTGAAAGCTAACCGTATAATACTTGTATGTGTGATGTTCCACAAGTACAACCGTGTGTACACCTCATGTACAGGTTTTAAATCATTTTAAAATTGTGTGTGTGTGTGTGTGTGTGTGTATATATGTATGTATATATATATATATATATATATATATATATATATATATATATATATATATATATATATATACATACATATATACACACACACACACACACACACAATTTTAAAATGATTTAAAACCTGTACATGAGGTGTACAGTATTTTGATATTAATATATATCTATAGATATCAAAATACATTAAGAATTAAGTTATATATATATATATATATATGTACACACACTAACACATTTAAATTCTGTGTATATTTATGTAATCTTTTTATTGAATTAAGTAATTTTTTATTAATTACAATTTGAAGGACTTGCCTGACAACCTAGGCAGAAAGTCCAGATAACTTAATGTGAAAACCTTATATTTGAACCTGTAACTTTCCAAGACACTATAAAACCTCTATATGGGGGGTACTGTTATACTCCGGAGACTTTGCTGAACACAAATATTAGTGTTTCAAAACAGTAAAATGTATCCCAAAGATGATATTGTAATCGAAAATTCAGTTTTTTTTTTGGGGGGGGGGGGGTTTACACACAAACTGCACTTTTATTTACAATACCATTGGGATACATTTTACTATTTTGAAACACTAATATGTGTTCAGAAAAGTCTTCCAAATATAAAGGTTCCCCCCATGTATAGGTTTTATGATGTTTTTGAAAGTTACAGGGTCAAATATAAGACTTGCCCATTTCAGTTTTTTCACATTGAAATTTGCCAGTTTGGTTATGTTGCATTTGAGACTGTACGGTAGCCCAGGAATAAGAATTACCCCCATGATGGCATACAATTTGCAAAAGACAACCCAAGGTATTGCAAATGTGGTATGTCCAGTCTTTTTCAATAGCCACTTAATCACAAAAAAATATGAACGCTAACTTTGGCCAGTGTTTGTGACTAAGTGGCTACTAAAAAAGACTGGACATACTCAGTTTGCAATACCTTGGGTTGTCTTGTTTTGTAAATGGTATGCTATCATGTGGTTAGTTCTCATTCCTGGGCTACCGTACGGTCTCAAAGGCAACATAATCAATCTGGCAAATTTCAATGTATATAAACTGAAAATGGAACTTGCTATATTTGTCTCTGTAACTTTCAAAAACATCATAAAACCTGTACATGGTGATAGTACTGTTATACTCACGAGACATTGCTGAATACAGAGAGGTGTATTTTATTGCAGTAAAACCTAACAGTGTTAAGATATTCAGTTAAAATGCCATTCAGAACTAAAAAAAAAAAAAAAAGTCTTGATTTTTCACACTTTTCTTTAGATTTTATTCATATTAAATTGTTTTATATGTTAATATTTGAGGTGAAATTAAAGTACTGTTTTCTCCTGAACAAAATGTAACCTAATTAGTATGGGTGCATTTAATAGAAAGAGAGAAATTGTGGTTAAACATAGTCAAATTCAAGGGTTTGTTTTGATCAGTGTACAATTGCCTCTGTCCTTAAGGGGTTAAAGTAAACCTGTTTAGTATAAATAAATAAACTCAGAAAGCAATAAATATATAATTTGTCTTTATTATGAATTATATATTTGTTTTAGAAGTTGTTCCAGCACAACCATTCTTGGAGGTCTGTGCTATTATTACATCCACCCTCTGTAACATGATTGGCCCAACAGGACAGTCTTCCTAATGACACCTATATGTTGGTGGCTGAATAGTTACACCAGTCACTCTTTTCCTATATGTGTCCCTGCTCTCCCTTTGCTGAAACCTTTTTCTCTAGACCTGTGTGGCTCCCACAATGAGTGGTCTATGCAAAGATTTGATTAAAAATGATAAATATATATATTTATGAGCTTTAGATTAAAATCTTTACAATCATTCAGACAAATGCACTAGTAGGTGGTGATGTCTTCAGCATATGAATATATGAAGTAGGACCTGTACATAATATATAAGAAAAATCAGATAAAAATTTGCTGTATTTTGTATATAGTATATTTTGAATTGGAGGTAAATTCAGGCAACACACGCATTCTTCGTGCTATAGATTGACTTCATTATGTATCTTTATTTCAAAGGAGAAGTGTATGGAGAAGCCAGGACCAAAGATGGATGCCAGATGTGAAAGTTGTTTCATAAACTGTGTTGAGAGATTCATAGACACCAATCAATTTATCCTCAACCGGTTGGAACAGACACAAAAATCAAGAGGAACTTTTTCTGAGAACCTGACTGACTAAGGAGAGAGTGTTGCCTAACTGAGCTGACCTTCTGCTATAGAATATTACTCTGAATATGTTGGAAGCTCTCTTCAAAACCTTACCTTAATGACAAAGGATACCTTCAGAGGAAACTTATCAAACAAGGATGACTATTTCTTAAAATGTGCAACATGTCATTATCTGCTCCAAAGTGTGGTCTGGCTCTTAGAATAGAATCGTAGATGTCCCTGAAACATGAAGTCCAGCTGCGGAACAAAACAACCTGTACAGAATTGTACGTCTCAATTCTTTGTTGAAAATTTCTTGACTAAACAATAAATGATGGAGTGATGTATTAGGCAAAGTGTTTTTTACATATGGCTGCATTATTGTAAGATTTAAACCTACTACTTACATTGTTGGTAAGAGAAGAGCCTCTGAATAAATATAATTTCCTCTATACCGTTAATTGGCAAACAATGGTTTCAAGAAGGTTTTTAATGTAACAAAACTGTATAAAAGAAAATGCAGAAATATAAAAAATAAAACTTTATTTTATATGTTGCCAGCCCACATTACACAATTTAGTCTTTTTTTTTTTTTCTTTTTTTTTAAGAATGTCAAAAGTAAATTTTTCACTTCATCTATTTATACTTTGATGAACAATAAGGCAAAATCTGTTCCTTTGTGATATGTCAGGATTGATTTGTGCTCACGGGCACATCTGTTACAAAATGCACCCTGCCTAGTACATGTCCTTTACTTAACAGCTAGGTATGTTCTCCCACTCTCCAGGAGGTCTCTCATTTTCTTCTGCCTTCATGAACACAGGAAGTAGTGTAAGAGGCAGTGGGAGATCCCGGTATGCATGTAGCAAGAAGACCCCCAAAACAATAGTAACAAAGCCGCTTATGGTGCCTACTACACTGCCCATACTCAAGTTTATCCACTCCTGGAAAAGGATGGCAGAACATGCAAGAACGCAGGAGGTAAATAATACATAATAGATTGGTGTGACTAGTGATGCAGTGAACACATCCAGAGCTCTGTGAAAGAAAAAGAGAGGGTTAGAACACATACACCACAGTATAAAAGCATAAACAAAAATGAACATAATTGCTGGTCACCTGTTCAGATAATGGATCTGTACACTGATGCATATGCATAAACACAGGAGCAGAATCCAGCCAAGTGGTTCTTTGTATACAGGATCTCCTGTGAAGAGACCCTTGATTGCGATTCCAAGTCCCTTTACACAAGCCACAGAGAGTGAGCCCACTAATGAACAGATCAGAACAAAAACGATCATGTTACTGTGACCCCACCGTGGTGCAGCTAAGGTTGCAAGTAGTAGGGAAAACAGGACCATGCAGGATGCAAAGGCCACAAAACCTAGAGACATGGGGAAAGAAAATATGAATTTCAGTATGTCTTGCTAAAGAAAAATTGCCATACAGTGACTGGTGCTAAAGACTTCCCTTTATCTTGATCTTAGACATACTGACTTTTTCTTATGTGTATGTCGGTAAGGATTCACATGAGATAGCATCTTAGTTCTTAAGTTTCTATTTTTAAAAGTGTAATACACGGATTTGCAAGTTTCCCTAGACTTTAGAAGCCAGGCAAAATTAATATTAGCAATACACCCTCAAAATAGACAGTCACACATTCCTTAAAGGGAAACTATAGTCACCAGAACAACTACAGCTTATTGAATTTGTTCTGGTGAGTAGAATCATTACCTTCAGGTTTTTTGCTGTAAACACTGTCTTTTCAGAGAAAATGCTGTTTTTACATTACAGCCTAGTGATTACATTACTCCACTGGCCACTCCTCAGATGGCTGTTAGAGATCTTTCCTGGGTCATGGCTGCCTAAAATGCATCCAAACATTCATTATACAATTTATTTTTTTTTGAGGGAAGTCCTAATGCGCTCGCACAATTAATTTAAACGGACAAAAAAAAAAAAAATCACAGTTTTGTAGATACACCACCCATGAAAATATGCATGTATTTTTCTATTGGGGGTATTACAGCTTGCAAGTGCTGCAGATTTCCTGTGCTGCAAACCCTCCCCTTCTTCCCCAGCACAGACTTTCTGTGACTGTCCAATCACAGCCTTCCCAATGCAGCTCAATGAAAACTCTTTGCAAGACAGGTGCTCTGAGCAATTGCTACCTCAAAAGCAATTGACAGCCAATTTCTTTTAAAATCTGCAAATTTTGTAAAAATGAAAAAAAAAAGAGGACACACTCTTCACACACAAAGCATTTCAGCAAGCTGAAGTGCTTTAGGGATCTGGTTTGGCCATTTAACATAGTCATAATACAGTTAATTGCAGTTAATAGGAGATGTTAATGCGTTTCTTCTTATTATAATTTTTTTATTTTATTTATATAGCGCCATCAGATTCTGTAGCGCTGTACATTGGGTGGACTAACAGACATGTAATTGTAACCAGACAACTGGACGTACAGGAACAGAGAGGTGGAGGGCCCTGCTCAATTATCTTCATTCCTATTCAGCACCCAAACCTATTGGCCCTGCTTTTATAAAATAAAAAGAAATGGATGAAGTGCTTTGTGTGTATATACTACAAACATGAGGTTTCATCTGGATCCTAATATAACATGTAAAAAACAAGCATAGTGTAACAATGTTACAAAGTAATTCCTAGATTTGACATGAAAGATAGCTGGATATGTGCGCTTGAAATGTGTTTCCCCTCGATATTGCCAAGTGGGCTATCAGGAACACAAGGAAGTCTCACAAGCCTAGACAAAACGCATAGAACCTATAGTTTTTATACTTTATTTTGTCAAATATTTTTGTACACAAACTGGCTTACAAGCCCTTGGGAAATCACTGTGAAAGAAAACGGAGTACTGGTAGCCCCCAGCAATATCGAGGCAACACGCTGTTCAAGCGCACATGCTGAGCTATCTTGTGAGTGCATTTCATGTCAAAATAGGGCATTACTATGTAACATTGTTACACTATGATTGTTTTTTTAGAATCCAACTGAAAACTCAAGTTTGCTGTATATACATATTGCTAAAGAGTTTTTTCATAGGAGGAATCCAGGGGGTAGCTTCCACGGGGCTTATAGCCAAGCTGAAAGTTAAGTATTTTTTTTTTTGTGGCTGAAGTGCTTTATGTCTTTGGAGTGTTCCTTTAAATGGCTCATTGTAGTGGCTATGGTGCTCTCAGCACATGTATTAAGAAATGTTAAGTGTTACAGTGTGTAGTCCTTTGTTTATGTACAGTTTTAACACATGGTGTATGAATGCATGTTTGCAATTAAATGTGTAAAATCAGTGTGAATGCATGAGTGTAGTGCAGGTAGGTCTAGTATGAACGCATATTTAAACGTGTGTAATGTCAGTGTGGATCTGTGTAACTGAAAATGTGTGTGAATGCAAGCATGTATTTGTTTTTTACTTGTTACTGCAAGTATGTGAAAGCTATGGTATTTTTATATAGTTTAAATTGTCAGTATAAGTGTCAAAGGGAATATAACAGATGTGTGTGAATACAGTTGTATACGTGTGTAAAATGTTCACATATGGATTCACGGGTGAATATGTTTGTTAATTCAGAGATTATTAATGTAGATGGTCAGTGTGTGAACACAGGGGAGTATTTGTTTGCAAAGTATAAATGCAGGGGTAAATCTGTACGGAGCATCAACATGCTTGCATGTGAACTCAGGGGTGTAATTGAGTTTGTGAGGGCAGTAAGTGTCAATTAAGGAACATGTGTAGAGAATGCCAGTATGTGTGAAAGCAGTAATGTATTTTCATTTCAAATTGATTTTGTTCTTTTAGACTCCCCACCCACTTTCTTTCTATTTCTATCTCCCCTAGTGGGTAAATCCCACTGCTTGTGTCATTACTCCACCCATCCATCCTACTCCCAATCATCATGTTTTTTTTTCTCTGTCAACCATTACCCCACTTCATCCTCCCTTCATTTCCTGCACTTGTATTTCTGTCCCCACTTTCAATTGTGTCTTTACCCTGGCTCAACTCAAATTACCGCACATGTACCCTGTTTATGAGCACCTCTTTGCGGTTGCAATTTTAAAATGTTAATATGGCTTTTCTTACTGTATTAATTTGTCCGATAGCTGAAATCAGGTCATTTAAAAATCAAGTCACACACAAGAAGGCCATACGATAAACAAAAGAGTGCATAAATATTGAAATATAGAATTAGGTTTTCGATAAAGAATATTAAACATAACAGTTCCACTTTTTTATTGGCTTTCTCAGGAATGGGTTGATTAGCCCAGCACTCTCAGTTTATTTTTGCCTTTTAAAGTTGGGGGGCTATTGTGAACAGGAAGCAAGCCACAGTAGTGGGTATAGGTGACCCCAGTTTGTGTCAAACTACTCATGAATGGTTTGACATAAATCAGGGAGACAGCACTCATACAGATTGCACCATAAGCACTACAATGAGCTGTAGTGACCATGGTGCTTATAGTGTCCCTTTAAATGTTTTGGTTTGTACATACAGCTGCAGTAAGCAATCTGTTAGAGGTAATAACACCTGCATGTTACCAGACAGCCACTATAGGGACTTCCAGCTTCTTAGACGGCTTCTTGGTCGTCTAAACTACGCTCGACGTCCTCATGCGACCTCCAGCGTAGCCAGAATCCCCATAGGAAAGCATTGCATAAGGCTTTCCTATGGGGAGGTCTAATGCACGCGCGAGGCCATTGTCACGCATGCGCATTAGGTCTCCCCTGCTGGCGGACATCGGCGGGGGAGGAGCTTGGGCAGAACATGACACAGCGCCGAGGGACATCGGCACTGGATTCAGGTAAGTGTTTGAAGGAGTGACGTGGGATAGGGGTCGGGAGGGAGGCACTCCAGGATTCTCTAGTGCCAGGAAAATGGGTTTGTTTTCCTGGCACTAGAGAATCCCTTTAAGTCCTGGTAAAGGTTGTTCACTGCTGGCTTGATTTAGAGCACTACAATCAATTTAAATAACTCTGATAATATGAAAAACAATATTTCTTCTGATCTGTAAAATTAATTCCTGCAGTGCAAAAGCAGATTTTAAACTCAGTATTGGATAATAAATAATACAGGAAGTGTCTGTTTTATGCACAGAAAACAAAACTGGTGCCACACTACCAGAATACTAAAAAGCAATGTGTGTATAGAGGCAATAGATTATGCAGAACAGATATGAAAGTGTTAATAAATCTCTCACCTGGCTGCTTAAGCTTATCCTCCATATCACTCAGCGTGGAAACCTCTTCCTCTTGTGGCGCATGAAGGACCATGACAGTGGAACCCAAAATACTCATAGCACAGCCAATTTTACCTGGTGAAGTTAGCCTCTCATTTAAGAAATAAGAGGAGAGGACAGCACTATGAAAAGAGAAAAAATTAAAATGGATTGGAGGAGAAAATAATTAGTATGAGATGGAGATAAAATAATGGCAGAAACATGTAGGCTTTTAATAATCTTATATATACAACATTCAATAATTATTTTAAGAAATAAGAGGTAATAATGACAATGTTATAACACCTTGGGGGTCTAAATGTGCAGAGAAGGATATTCCCTGGGTTAGAAGCGGACAAGAAACAAAAAAGCAGTTAAAGGGCGCTATAGGCACCAAAACAACTTTAGCTTAACAAAGTGCTTTGGGTGTATAGATCATGCCCCTGCAGTCTCACTGCTCAAGTATCTGCTGTTTAAGAGTTAACCAGGAGAAGTGTGGCTAGGGCTGCATAAATAAAGTGATTTAACTCCTAAATTACAGAGTACTTAGCAGGGAAACTGCAGGGGCATGGCCTACACACCAAAACCATTTAATTACGCTGAAGTTGTTTTCGTGCTTAGAGTATCCATTTAGTGACACTTTTAACCATGCTCCTTACCTCACTAGAACACTAAGTCCTCCAAGAGGTGTTACCAATGTGGCTGGAGCAAATATGTAAGCAGCAAAGTTAGCCGCTTCCCCTAGTCCCACTGCAATGACAACAAATAGTGGAGTAAGGAATAGCAATAGTCAGGTGAGCAGGTAAACCGAAGATTTGACAGAGGATACATACTTGACAAGAGACCTGCCCACCACAGCCATTCCCTAAGATATGCATGCCCGCCTTGACCTGTATGACAAAGAGAGAAAATATATGGTGTTAGACAAAAGGACAGTACTACACTTAATGCAAAATGTTCATGAAACATATTAAATAAATATACTCCATTTACTACACTAATCAGCAAACACCAACAATGCAAATATGGCTTTTAAAACGCTTAAAGTGGCTCTGTCATGGCAAACTTTCTCCAGTCATTTCCTCTTCTCTTCCACTCTTCGGATATGTTTTCTTCATTTCTGAACTTGTTCTCGTAAAATACATAAGATAAAGTAGGGACTCCTTTGTCTTATGTATTTTTCGTATGTCTGACAAATCATGACTAAAGGCGGAACATTAAGCAGGCTCCACGTCCTTTGTCAAGTCCAATTTTCACTACAATATTCACCTGCCAGTTGCACTCTTTGCCTGTAATCTCACTATCTATCCTCTGTTCTTCCTCAAACTTTGCGCATGCCCCCTACAATTGCCTTTGCTTCTGGCTTCCTGGGAATGCGCTATAGCGTGTTAACGTCACCATGCAAGAAATCAGAAAGAGGTGGAAGGAAGGGTAGAAGAAGGCAGTGATAACAGGTCACTTCTAGGTTCCTGAAGAGGTTACCACAGCACAAAAATCAAAAGGCTTTTTAGAGGTAAAAATGGGAAAATGCACCAAATAAATTTGATGGGGGGAGGGGAGGAGAATAAGATGTCAAAAAGGTTTGGAGACAATAAAAAAGGAGAGAAACAAACACCAATTCCTCATGAGAGAGCTGCAATAACGGAACACTATAGGCACCCAGACCACTCAATGACATGGTCTGAGTGCCACGTGCCCCCTGTTATAACCTTGCAGCTGAAAACATTGCCATACTGAGTAAAAAAATGCTATTTCATAGAGACCATCTGATTAGTGTTTGGTCGCGCAGACGCACTAGTCTCCCCATGCCTTGCTTTCCTATGGGAAAAGTTAGGATTTCAAATAAACACCAGACAGAAGATGTACATATTCTTGGAAAGGAGATTTATCTGCTTCTTGAGATGGCTGTTCCATAGAAGGAAGCTCTCCTCAACAGGGTAAGCAATGACAGCATGCCAGATCAGTTCCAGGAGGTTTGGATGCAGAAGATAGAGCACCCATTGGTTGAGGGAGTAACCGTCTTTTAAATGTTTTATTCCTCTATACACTGGAGAGAAATTCTGTTAACAAAAATTATAGATGGAATTTAATGTGGCTCTCCAGTCCCCTAAAACATTTTTGATGAAGGACTTTTATGGGTTAATTACATGTCCCTGCAGGCTCCTTTTACAAAGTGCTGATTTACAGAGAAATTGGCACGTTGATAAATCCCCTTTGTAAAACCTCCCAACAGAGAAGCACATAGCAGCAAGGTTTCCTTGCCTCACATTTTAATTACAGCTCAAAGTATACCTAAGTGCTTTCTATTAGCATATAGTTTGCCAAAAAAAAAAAGGATATGAACATCATGGGTTGAGGATAAAGTCTTTGATGAAATAGATGGTACCTGCTCTAAGCTGCCCCTTGCCACAAAGTTTGAGCAGACCCTTCTTCTTAAGGATGAAACTTCCTCCAATAAATATGCTCGATGAGAGTGCCAGAACCAGCCCAATGTAAAACTCATAGCGGTTTCCATGGGCATTCATGTTGAGAGATGGATGATCAGTATCACTGCTTTCAGAAGCACTAAAAGTGGAAGTTCCCTGAAGTGTCCATGTGAACATCTACAACTGAAAATAATAAAAATGATCCATTCAATATGTGAAAGACAAAATATGCTACATATACTTCCTCTACAGCTGGGAGGATCCCAGGCTGTCAACAATTAATAAAAACACTTTCACACGCAAGCCTCCTACATAATTTTTTAGAAGGTATTTATTAAGAGTGTGAATAGTCCGGAAATGAGAGTCAATCTTTCTTTTTGCTCAAGAGTCTTATTTTAGATTTTGTAAAACTGTTTCATTAATCCTATTGAGTTAGGCCTTGGGACACCCCTGGAGTGTCTCTCTGGCATACAGATTTAGTGGAGGCTCGTGGGCAGATAGTTATGCACACATTGATGTGCACATGTCTGCTACTTCCCTTCACTGACTCATCTCGTTATCTTGTTTATGTTAGAATTTGGTTACTAAACTCTGAATTGCAGCAAAAAGAAATCCAAAGAGCAAAATACAAGGAAAAGTAGCTAACATGAGAAATCTCCATAAGGATGCTATAATAACAGCTCAACTATTTTACCGAATTTATTGTCATTTGGATTTCAATTCTCCACAATTCTGTTTTCAGTGAATAACCTTATAAATGTGACCTCTGTCAGTTATTCACTAAAATGTGAATTGGCAGAAATTCAAGGTGGATTTCTTATTTTAGGACAAAATAGGCAAACTGGAAAACAATATCACAAAGTGAGCCTTGTTTTCCAATTCACAGGTTTGGTCGAAGCTGTGATATTGTCTGTGAATTGACAGCCATTATTTATTAAGTGTTCTTGCATAGCAAGACCACTTAATGTTATCTCACATATATATTATTCTTATTATAGCCAAATTTACCACCCTAACTCCTCCCACAGTTTTTACACTACATAGACAGTAATATATGTAAGAATATTAAATAGTTAACTTGTTTATATGTATTTTATGCTTTTATAAGGTTTATAACATGATTATTGCTGACTGAAGGGATATTGAATACTTAAACTCAATTTACGACATAATATGCTGACTGTGACAGACTAAGGTATTTCTTCTATAGGATGTAAGACAATGCTAAATTTCAGGATGTCTTGCCCATTCCGATTTTAAGGATATTCTTTTCCAGACGTATGCAAAAGCTTATCTTTCCATTGTCAGAATAACGTAATATAAGGAAGTAATAAATCTTATAGTCTGTACTGTAATGAATGGCATATACCATGGCTAATGTAAGCAAACTATGTATAAAAGCCAGCTCTGGAATACACTCATTTGAGAGTCTTGTAAAGCTGTTGTCCGTGTGTTATTGCTTACAAATGATTCTCCATCAACGTTGATTATGGTGACCGAGGGATCGAGAACCGAGGGGATTAGAGTCCATTACAACATTACCCCTTTCAATATACCGAAACATGCGGATTGTTCCCGATCGGATGGCTATTACTTTGTGGAACGTTTCGCCGAATGGTTCATGGAATATCATCGTACTTGTGGCAAAATTGGTCCCATAGGAATGAATGGCAAAATGTTCAAAACTAGAGTGGGAGCTGGCAAAAGCTGAAAAATCAGGACATGATTTCTAAACTGCCACCACTCCCTCATTTTCAAGCCCACCTACACAAATCTTATATCAAAACTTTCAGCTATCCCTGCTGCCACTAAAAATGTCCACGGCTAAGCCATAGTCCTGATAGTTTTCACGACATGACCATTTGTTTGCAACTCACGCCATCCATTGACATTCATTGAAACTCCACTCCAGCCAGCTTAAATTTGAAGGGCAATTTCTAAACTGCGACTGTGCCTTCATTTTTAATACTTCATACTATGCATCAAAATGTAGGTCTGGGTCTTGTGATTCTCACAATATAAAGCTCTTCGCTGTAGGATGTATAGTTTTTACAATATGACCGTTTGAAGATGGCACCCGCCAAAATACTCTGACCTGTGCCAGGCTGGAGCAGCAAGTGATGTCATAGACAGGGCCTTTTGTACACCTGCTAATGTTTTTATAAATTTATGTTTTAATGTAACTGTGAAGCACTTTGGGTAACAACGTTGCAATTAAATGTGCTATATAAATAAATAATAAGTTACTCCGCCCACTCCAGTTGTAGACTACTGGTGGAGGCAAGAACACTTCACACAATTTCCCCAGAAATTGTACCGTTTCTAGTTTATAAAATATTTTACCAGTAAGGATACATTGAGATTTCTTTTGTTTTCACTTCATTTAGTGAATATCTCTGTATATCCGTGTATCCTTGTATATCTGTGTATATCCCTGTTCCTGTGGAACTCTCTTCCCTTCTCCGTTAGATTCTCACCCAGTCTCCACTCCTTCAAAAAATCGTTAAAAACCCACTTCTTCATAAAAGCGTATCAATTAAACTGTTAATAGCTCCCGACTGATTCCTCTTCTGCAACTGTCATTAGTCTAATACTATCCTTACCTTTTTGTGTCATTTTACCCCACTCCCTCTAGCATGTAACCTCATTGGGCAAGGCCCTCAACCCCTCTGTTCCTGTGTGTCCAACTTGTCTGTTCGTCCACCCATTATAAAGCGCTATATAAATAATAACATAATAATATATAATAAAATATCCCTGTATCTCTGTGTAGATCCTTGTATCTCTGTATCTATCCCTGTCTCTCTGTGCAGATCTGTATCTATCCCTGTATATCTCCCTGTATCTCTGGTATCTCTCCCTGTATCTCTGTGTATATCCCTGTATCTCTCCCTGTATCTCTCCCTGTATCTCTGTATATCTGGTATCTCTTCCCGTATCTCTGTGTATATCCCTGTATCTCTCTCTGTATCTCTCCCTGTATCTCTGTATATCTCCCTGTATATCTCCATCTCTCTCTGTATCTCTCCATCTCTCTCTGTATCTATCCCTGCATCTCTCCCTGTATCTCTCCATCTCTCTCTCTGTATCTCTCCCTGTATCTATCACTGTATCTCTCCATCTCTCCCTGTATCTCTCCATCTATCTCTGTATCTTTCCCTGTATCTCTGTATATCTCTGTATCTATCCCTGCATCTCTCCATCTCTCCCTGTATCTCTCCATCTCTCTCTGTATCTCTCCCTGTATCTCTCCATCTCTCTCTGTATCTATCACTGTATCTCTATATCTATCCCTGCATCTCTCCCTGTATCTCTGTGCAGATCTGTATCTATCCCTGTATATCTCCCTGTATCTCTGTATATCTGGTATCTCTCCCTGTATCTCTGTGTATATCCCTGTATCTCTCCCTGTATCTCTGTATCTATCCCTGTATATCTGGTATCTCTCCCTGTATCTCTGTGTATATCTCTGTATCTCTCCCTGTATCTCTGTGTATATCCCTGTATCTCTCTCTGTATCTCTCCCTGTATCTCTGTATATCTCCCTGTATCTCTCCATCTCTCTCTGTATCTCTCTGTATCTCTCCCTGTATCCCTCTCTGTATCTCTCCCTGTATCTCTGTATCCCTGTATCTCTCCCTGTATCTTTGTACACTGTGTCTCACTGATAGCAGCTGGAGGCTCCCTGGAGGGAGGTGGTCAGCTCAGTCTATGGTTCTGTCCAGCACTCTGATCACATGATCCCTCCATCCTCCGTTATAAATGGTCAGTAACTCCGTTTACACGGTATCTCCCCCCCCCTTCGTTAACTGCAGGATACAGACAGCCTCGGTCACAATAACCGGCGATCCTCCATGGACGGAGACTAACCGGGACCTGACAGACTCACTCCTTCCCTCTATCCTGAGAAGTTACTGAACTTCCGGGTTCGAGTGAAGCACTTTCTATGGGAAAGAGCAGTGATTGGCTATCCCTCTATCCCGTTCTGATTGGCTGTCCTATTATCCCATTCTGATTGGCTGTCCCACTATCCCGCGCTGGTTGGCTGTCCTATTATCCCGCTCTGATTGGCTGTCCCACTATCCCGTTCTGATTGGCTATCCCATTATCTCGCTCTGATTGGCTGTCCTATTATCCCGCTCTGATTGGCTATCCCATTATCCCGCTCTGATTGGCTATCCCATTATCTCGCTCTGATTGGCTGTCCTATTATCCCGCTCTGATTGGCTATCCCATTATCCCGCTCTGATTGGCTATCCCATTATCCCGCTCTGATTGGCTATCTGCTACGTTTCCCGTGTACCGGAACTTGCTGGAACCATAAACATCCGGCCTGGATGGTCAGACTGCCTTTGCTGTATGTGCAGCCAGTGATCGCATTGTGATTAAATATTATTATTATTATTATTATTATTATTATTAAATAGAGATTCCTGGCGGGAGCTCAGCGCTGGACTGAGCATGACATCCACAAGTAAGTCCTGTTTATATACTGCTCCTATCACTACCTGTTACAGATATCACAGGGGCTGCTCCTACTATAATGTTCAGTATTGTATGTTATCATACACCCGATACCCGCAAACACTGCCTGAACCAGTGGCGTACACACAATCCATGGGCCCCCTCCACCCCATACAGACACACAATCCATGGGCCCCCTCCACCCCATACAGACACACAATCCATGGGCCCCCTCCACCCCATACAGACACACAATCCATGGGCCCCCTCCACCCCATACAGACACACAATCCATGGGGCCCCTCCACCCCCACCCCATACAGACACACAATCCATGGGGCCCCTCCACCCCCACCCCATACAGACACACAATCCATGGGGCCCCTCCACCCCCACCCCATACAGACACACAATCCATGGGGCCCTCCACCCCACCATACAGACACACAATCCATGGGGCCCCTCCACCCCCACCCCATACAGACACACAATCCATGGGGCCCCTCCACCCCCACCCCATACAGACACACACAACCATGGGGCCCTCCACCCCAAGCACCCATACAGACACACAACCATGGGGCCCCTCCACCCCACCCCATAGCACAGACACACAATCCATGGGGCCCCTCCACCCCACCCCATACAGACACACACAATCCATGGGCCCTCCACCCCATACAGAGACATGCACAATCCATGGGGCCCCTCCACCCCCACCCCATACAGACACACAACCATGGGCCCCTCCACCCCATACAGACACACAACCATGGGGCCCCTCCTCCTCCACCCCATACAGACACACAACCATGGGCCAGCCCTCCACCCCCACCCCATACAGACAACCATGGGCCCCTCCAACCCCCACCCATACAGAGACACACAACCATGGGGCCCTCCACCCCCACCCCATACAGACACACAACCATGGGGCCCCTCCACCCCCACCCCATACACACACACAACCATGGGGCCCCTCCACCCCCACCCCATACAGACACACACAATCCATGGGGCCCCTCCACCCCACCCCATACAGACACACAATCCATGGGCCCCCTCCACCCCATACAGACACACAATCCATGGGGCCCCTCCACCCCCACCCCATACAGACACACAATCCATGGGGCCCCTCCACCCCCACCCCATACAGACACACAATCCATGGGGCCCCTCCACCCCCACCCCATACAGACACACAATCCATGGGGCCCCGCCACCTCATACAGACACACAATCCATGGGGCACCGCCACCTCATACAGACACACAATACATGGGGCACCGCCACCTCATACATACAGAGAGACACAGAGATACACAGGAATACAGACAGACACATGCATAAAGACACACATACACTAACACACACATGCAAAATATTTTAGTCACCCTCCTATTACCTCCCTTTTAGGTGCCGAAGGGTGACTTCCGTAGGGTCCAGTGGCTCAGGTTAATGGGAGTCAGAGCTCTCACTCTGACTCCCTCTCTTTCCTCCCGGTGGTTGCTGGGAGGAGTGACCGGGGCAGTCCCTTCCTCCCAGCGTCTGACATCTTTAGAGGGGGTGGTCATGCTGTTACCAGGCCCCCTCTGATGATGATATTCATTTCCATCGGGTGGCCCTAACAGCATGGGCCACCCGATGGGCCCCGGCAATTATACCACGCAGCCAGGCCACAACACAACAATACAAATAATTTAACATACAATAGACCTTGTTTTTGCAAGCTTCCCTCTAATTGCTGTACTCACATCTTACTAACTATACTTCAGTCTCTGGAGGTCCATGCTGTAGGGTAACCTGTTTAGCATGTGACATCAGGGCACTTTCTGTAGATGGACCCATTAGAATAGATAATCGCAAAATGGAGTAATACTCGGCAACTAGAGAGTGTACTAATGCTCCTGGCCGATTAATACAGGGAGTGGCATCATTTGTCCCAGAGAGGAATGCAGTAACATTAAATATTATATTTTTTTTCTCACAGAGCAAAAGACATCAAGAAGTAAAGATGATGCCCCCCACGAGTTAGAAAGTCAATGTATTCTAAGACTCCCACAGGTAAGAATAAAATGATGATAAAGTGCAGGAGAACTGTATGATATGGAACTACTACTTCTAGATTAGCTCAGGACGGGCCAAAATCTGTGAATCACTGCTCTACTTGATGTACTTTCATGAGCAAAGTAAAAAAATTTACATAGCTGCACATTACAATTTGGTGTGTATGTATTATATAGCACATAATAATGTTTACGGCACTCAGTGTTCTTTTAAGAAAGCACCCGGAAACTCTTGCCCACCCAGCAACTTAAATGAGCATCTCCACAGTTGAGGACCCCAATGGGTGATGCCTTAGAATGGACTCCCGGGATGTCTTTTTAAGATAACATTTTGGTAGAATTTTCCAGTTATGAAGTTCACGAGACACGATTATGTCGTTTATAGTATTCCATTTAATTTTTGAATGTGGAGCTTGAAGAGTATGGAAGATAGAAGAATAGAAGATAGCGATGCCTTTGAGTGGTTTTCAGTTATATTCTGTGTGTGCCAAGTGCAGTGGTAATGCTCTTATTTTGTTCCGTATAGACATTACTGTGTGCATTAGTTTAAATGGTTATTCTAAAAACTATTGTGATTGTATTGAACACTGTTACTTGTTCATTGGAAGCCTTCAAAATGACAATACATTTCAAATAATCAATTGTAATTTGCATAAAGGTTATAAATTAACAGGATTTTCCTGAATAATTCCCAAATTACAACTGAAAAAAAGTAAATATCGAGGATGTGAAAATTAAAGTCTTGGTCCTCGTTTGAAGTTTTAACTCCTTTCTCCTTCACATATGAGGTGTAGGAAGTGTTGCCCAGTCTCAACTACATATAGAATGTGACGGCAGATAAGAACCATTCGGCCCATCTAGTCTGCCCAATTTTCTGAATGAAGAGCATTGCATATGCCTCATATTTGGATTTCTCCCCAACTGATATCTAAGGGAATTCTTTCCATATGTTACTATTCACCCTAAAAATGTAAATACTTTGCATAAATTATATTAGTCACTGTAGACTAATAACATGTGCATTACAGTGCCACGCATTGCAAAAATCTATCATTGTGGGACTGTTGGGGAGGAGAAACTCTGCATTAAAAACTGTATAAAAGAAGTCTCATATTCCATTGTGTAGCTGACATGGATTAAGTGAACATCTTGTGACAGGATCCCTTGAAATAATAAATCTCTTTTTATACAATTAATATGTTTTTAGTTTTTTTTATAGTGATCCATTTTATTACTTTGTCACATCCCACTGATGGAATAATATAATATTTACCTCTAAAGCCCTTTTCATTATAGCAAAAACTAGATTGATGGTCACTTGACTCAGTGCTCTATAATTTATTTTTGCTTTTCTCAGGAATATGCATCCACTGTCAGAAGAATGGTTCAGGCTGGGAATGTCAATGCCAAAGATCGACTATCTATTGAATTACATCGTGAGTAATAACAAATGAATCTATGTGCCAGAGAACAGTGTTTTGATATAATGTGTCACACAATAGAATGATGGAAAGGTGTGGAGCTAACAGAAGAAAGAATGTACATTTAGCTGTAAGTTATGTGCTTGTGTAAAGGAAGGCTTTCAGATGACCACATGCGAAAAAGTACACTTAGAATAAAAGTATTAAATAATATTACTTTATTAAGAGGACAATAACCCCTTATAAATAAATCCTCTGATACAATGTTAGAGGCAAAGCACAAAGTTCCCCTAACATATGTTTCAAGAAAATGAGAAAGGCAGCCTGTGCAGTCAAAACCTCAATCATATCAACTCAGCAAGAAGAAAAAAAATAGACTGATCTAGAAAACAGTTCCAGCTCCCTCCTACATCTACTCTATAGTTTCTGTAGTTTTATAAAACCTGTTAAATCTGCTTTACTTTAACCAATATGTAATCAAGGAATATTGTGTATATTATTTTACAAAATTAAATAGCAGTCAACATATGTTCATCAAATACTCAACATATGATGATGAATTATAACATTCGTATTCTTCAATATTAGATCAGAAATTATTGTAATGACAGAAGCATAGTTTGTCCATTAGGCTGAAAGGCATATTTATATAGGCAGAGGTTAATGATTTTGACTTGTATTGCTTTGTAAGTTGAGTTATATATCTTCAAAATAATGTTGTTCACAGCGGATGGACGTCATGGGATTGTTCGTGTGGACCGCGTTCCCCTGGCAGCCAAGCTGGTTGATGTTCCCTGCGTTTTAGAGTGTCTGAAAACTATTGACAAGAAGACTTTCTACAAAACTGCAGATATCTGCCAGGTAACCTATTTTTAAAACTGTCTTCTTCACATTTTGCATTTACAGTTTGAAAATGTTTAAATGACAACTGTCACTTCTCAGAGTTGTTAATTGTATGTTTACTTATCTTTATTTTAAACAAATATAATTTGTAAGGCTGTTGTAAACAATGTTTATTTT